CCAACAGCATTCTTCAATGAACTAGAGCAAATCATTCTAAAATTCATATGGAACCACAAAAGACCCCAAATAGCCAAAGCAATCCTGAAAAGGAACAATAAAGTTGGGGGGGGGGTGTTACACTCCCTGACTTCAAGCTCTACTACAAAGCCACAGTAATCAAGACAATTTGGTACTGGCACATGAACAGACCTATAGACCAATGGAACAGACTAGAGAGCCCAGATATAAAACCAAGTATATACAGTCAATTAATATACAATAAAGGAGCCATGGATATACAATGGGGGAAATGACAGCCCCTTCAACAGCTGGTGTTGGCAAAACTGGACAGCTACATGCAAGAGAATGAAACTGAATTATTGTCTAACCCCATACACAAAAGTAAACTCAAAATGGATCAAAGACCTGAATGAATGTAAGTCATGAAACCATAAAACTCTTAGAAGAAAACATAGGCAAAAATCTCTTGAATATAAACATGAGCAACTTTTTCCTGAACCCATCTCCTCGGGCAAGGGAAACAAAATAAAAAATGAACAAATGGGACTATATCATACTAACAAGCTTCTGTAGAGTAAAGGATACTATCAGAAGAACAAAAAGGCATCTCACAGTTTGGGATCTCATATATTTGTAAATGACATATCTGACAAGGGGTTAACATCCAAAATATATAAAGAACTCACATGCCTCAACACCCAAAAAGCAAATAACCCAATTAAAAAATGGGCAGAGGATATGAACAGACACTTCTCCAAAGAAGAAATTCAGGTGGCAAACAGGCACATGAAAAGGGCTCCACATCGCGAATTATCAGGGAAATGCAAATTAAAACCACAATAAGGTATCACCTCATGCCAGTTATGATGGTCAACATAGAAAAGAATAGGAAGGACAAATGCATGTGAGGATGTGGAGAAAGGGGAACCTTCCTACACTGCTGGTGGAAAAGTAAACTAGTTCAACCATTGTGGAAAGAAGTATGGAGTTTCCTCAAAAACCTAAAAGTAGAAATACTATTTGACCTAGGAATTCCACTCCTAGGAATTTACCCTAAGAATTCAGTTTCCCAGTTTCAAAAAGACATATGCAACTCAATGTTTATTGCAGCACTATTTACAATAGTCAAGAAATGGAAGCAACCTAAGTGACCATCAGTAGATGAATGGATAAAGAAGATATGGTACATATATACAGTGGAGTATTATTCAGTCTTAAGAAGAAAACAAATCCTACCATTTGCAACAACATGGATTGTGCTAGAGGATATTATGCTCAGTAAAATAAGCCAGGCAGAGAAAGACAAGTACCAAATGATTTTACTCATCTGTAGAGCATAAGAACAAAGCAAAACTGAAGGAACAAAACAGCATCAGACTCACAGAACCCAAGAATGGACTAACAGTTGCCAAAGGGAAAGGAACTGGGGGTGTGGGTGGGAAGGAATGGAGCAGGGGAATAAAGGGCATTATGATTAGCACACATAATGTAGGGGGTGGCACGGGGAAGGCAGTATAGCATAGAGAAGGCAAGTAGTGACTCTATAGCATCTTACTATGCTGATAGACAGTGACTGTAATGGGGTATGTGGTGAGGACTTGATTATGGGGGAAAACTAGTAACCACAATGTTGCTCATGTAATTGTATATTAATGATACCAAAATATAAAAAGAAAAAGAGAGGACTAATGAACTATTCTTTTCTTCTCTCCCATGAGGAGACTATTTCCCTGGTTATGCCCTAATGCACTGTCTCTCCTGAGAATCCATATTAATCATCTTCCCAACACACACATACACACACCCTAGTATGGCAAAGCTAGAAGAAGAGAGGTTTTTCCAAAGCATCCAGGAAAGTGATCGTAGTTAAATGGGAATGTTCTCTGTCTATCCATAGTCTTATTTTGCTCAGATTGGGTATGAGTTTCATTCCTGCATATGTAGTGGGAGCATGATAATGAAAGAAGAGTGATAATTTTGAAAGTGTGGTCACAGCTGAAATGCATTCCCATTTTCACCTTTTCATCTTGGTGGCAACCATTTTAATATTTGTGCCAGTAGTCATCAATATTTTAAGAATTTATTCTTTACCGAGTCCTGTTCCAGCATCATGTTTATTTCCAAAGCGAATACTTTATTAATGTGACGTTAGAATTCTCAGAACCAGATGCACCAGAGGAGATTCTGGAAAGAAGTGGGTGGTTTTCTACATAAAAACAGATGGATAAATACATTCAGCACAAAACTAGGTGGTTTGAGGTCCTCATGAGCCCCCAAGTACCAAAGTGAGGCTAAAACACCAACATATTTTACATGATGCCAGCTTTAATGTGGGGAGAAGCAGAAGGATGAATAGAGGCTCTGCTAGCCCTGAGAATAAGGGCCGCTCAAAATAGCTATTGAGTATTCATTAGATAGGACAGGTCAGTTTGAGGCCATTACCTGAACCGGGAGGATTTTTTTTCCAGTCCAATAGTGAATGCAAAGTTTCCACAAAACAGCCAGAAAAGACTGAATGTCCCTAAACCTTCTTGAAATGTTCAAATGTTCATGAGCCCCTAATTAAGGAGTAACTTCTGGGAATGGTTTAAAAATTGAACAGGATAAGACCAATGGACAAGAGAAGATTCCAGATAAATGTGGGAGAGAAACAGAGTCAGGATATCAGAAAGTTAGGTCACCATTCTTTAAACCCTGTTTCAAAACAGCAGAAGAAGGAGCACAATAAAGTTAGAAAACTGTTGGCGCACAGTTTCTTCTAAAAATTGAGGAAAATATTCATAAAAATGATCAACCAAAAATTATTAAGTTTATATCCTGTACAAAATTATATAAGGATAAAAAATAGAGAGAATAAAGAGAAAAATAGCAACACACAGATCATACCAGGTCTCCATATGCAATGCTCACACAAAATAAAAATAAAATCTACTACTTCAAAATGAACAAAATATTTTAAGAAAGTTACATAATGAATGAAATAATATAAATTAGAAAAATGAAACTCTGACATGAGTTGTCATAACTCTGAAAATAATTAGAAATGTAGGATATCAAACTAGAGGAATTATAAAAGGAAATAAACACAATGGATACTAGCTCAAGATAAATAAGGGGTGACAGTAAATAACGGGGTGATAATTTAAAAAATTTTAAATAGACAACCTTAAACAGATTTGAGTGAAATTTTCCAAGGCTAAAAAAATCCAATATACAGACAATAGGAGTCCTTAAAAAGAAAAACAAATCAGTGGAAGAGAAGTAATAGTAAAAACATAATTCAAAAACACTTTTCTGAAATTTAACAAAAAATATCTGAAACTATGTATTGTGCAATATTTTGTCCATCTGAAATCATGGACCCAGAATAACCACTTTGAAGATATATCCTAATACAACTCCTGGGCTTAAAACAAAAATCATTATTTGGGCATCTAGGCAAAAAACATGACATAAAAGAGAAAGAAAAGTATATCATATTTTTAACAGCAGCTTTTTTAGTCAGCAGAAAATGAACTATCATATTTAGTATGTTCCAGAAAATAATATGTGAGCCATGGAGTTTCTAGTTCAAAGGACACAAAACAACTTACAATTTATTATATGTGGGAATGAAATAATTCAATTAGATAATATTTACAGAATTAAAATAACTAAATTAACCAGAAAGAGACTGACATAAAGGTAGGTAGCAAACATTAAATACATGATTGTAGAACTAAGTGTAGATGACAATCGAAATACAGCACAATCATGAAAAATGGGAGAATAAAAAGAACATATATAAAAATGAGTTTTAATAGTCAAATTAATAGAAATGCTATCTGGGTATTTTGACACTTGTGTTCGTAATGCGCTACAATGCAAATTCATTGTTAAGAGATACTATCATCTAATACTATCATCTTGGGTCCTTGAGAACTAGGATTTTTAGTTTGGAAGAAAAGTGATACATTTGCAACAGAGAAGAAATTAAAAAACCAAACATTGTAGACCTGGGTCTTAATAGAAAATATCAGTATGAACACATGAAGCATTTTATCTTAAAAAAAATCCTTTATGTGTATTTTCTAACTATTTTAAACAAAGAACTACTCATTATAATAAAAACTGGTAAATAAAGGAAATAAATCACTTGTTTATTTTGCTTTTCCTATATGAACTCTATATACAGGAAACCTAGTCGGAGGAGGTATGTTTCTTATAAAAATATTCCAGATATATATGAAAAACAAATGAAAAACTAAGAGTATAGCCATTTTGGAAAGTCCAGTGAATGAATTAATATAAACAAACGGGTCTTTTAATATAACACACAAAAAGGGGGAAATGAAATGTCATGAGTTCCCTGATAAGAGGACACATCTCTCATCCTGCTGAAGAGACCAAATCTGGCTTTGACAGAGTCTTTGGGTCCAGCTGTCAGACTGCAGGAGCCACAAAGGATGCAAGAATGTGTTGAGCTGTACCAAGAGTGTGCAAGGGGTTGAGTGGAATCATACAGTACTGGTCAAAGGTCCCAAGTCCTTCAACAAAAATAGAAAGAAATGAAAGAGGTACAAGGAAAACCTATGGACCAAAGAGATTTCACAGATACATCAAATTTTTTTAAATGGTCACGACTGAACCATATTGTTGTCTAGGGACACATGCTTAGGTGATACCACATGATTAGGTAATACCAGGTGAGGAAGCAGTGATTATGAAATGCTGATGATGGTTCCCTTTGGAAGAAGAGAGGGGCTTGTGATTTCAATGGGGCACATGGAGGGGTCTGAACTGTGAAGGGCTTCTTTATAATAATTTATTAAGACTTTTATTAGTTTTGTCATTGGTTCCTACTGATGTGTTTTATTTTATAATGGTTTACAAAATGAGGCTGCACACGCCAGGACAGTTGCAGTGATTCACTCCACTAGGTGGCCGTGCAAGTGTTCATTTCATTGCACTGCTCTCTGGCTCGGTTGCTTTCCTTCAAAATTAGCCCTGAGACGTGGATGACCAGGAAGCTGAGGAAGGATGGTGTTGAGCCTCGAGCTAAGTCAAATATAGGTAAGGCCAGAAGATTTCAGGGCGTTTTATCATTAACACCTCAGCCTCTTTCCCAGCTTCTGCATGTTCTGCCCCTCTCTGAAGTGTTGCTATTAATGTACGTGTGTGTGTTTGGAGAGGGGAGAGTAACCACGGTGACTCTTCCCTCTAACATCTCTGCCCTGCAGCCTCTCAGGCTCCTGCAGAGACCAAGCTGGGACAGGCCTGTTTTTTTTTCCCCTGCCAGGGTGCCGACATATATCCTTCCCCACTCAACCTAGGAGATAACAAAGTAATTCCCCACTCTCTTGGTGTTCTAGGGCTTTGCTTACTCTGACTCAGTTGACATGGCCAGTCAGATGGTGTGTTTGTGTATCAGTTCTCCTGTTTCTCTCTGTCCCTCACAGTCCCCCACACCAAACTAGCTAGGTAATAAACTAGCTAGACCAGACCAAAAAAGGGCTGGTTTCAAGATTAAGAATTGTGACTCAGACATAGTTCAAATTGCTTTCTCCTGGGTTTTCTAACACAAGGATAACACAAGGAATGTAAAAACCTATGAATAAAGATGTGATTAAAAGAGCACAGATCCTTCCCAATGCCTCCCTAGTTCTTTACCCAGGCTCTGCCTACATTCCTTGTTAATTGAAATCCATAGGAAGGCAAATTCGCCCAGCTCTTGGCAGGTAAAGAACCTTGGGCTCACTGATTGCTACAGCATTAAGCTGGATGAGGGGCTACATTAGCACTCAAAGGTGTACCTGTTATCAGAAGTCAATTCCCTGCTGTGGCCATGGTGTATATTTCTGTGTTCTCAATCTTCCTGAGTCATTGCTCCGTGGTACAAATACCACTTGATACTATTCCATAGTGTCACTATCCACATGCCATTATAATGGAACAGGTTTTAATTACCTCCTCAGATTCTGCAGCTATTAAACGGATGAGACAGAAGGCGCACCAGTTCTATTCTGACTTCAAAGTCCTTGACCTTTCTTGTCTGCACCTTCCTTTCAGAACTTCATTTCCCATTCCAGCTATTTAGATTTCACTCATTCTCCGAGTCCTACTTCAAGAACTCTTTTCCAATTCTTGTAGCGCACTTAATGCTCTTCTTTCTCAGAGCTCCTATTGTACTTTCAGAAAACACTATGGAGATTGCCACTCATGGCTTTCAAGTGTGTTATTGCTGAATTCTTAACTACTTGCCTGCTTGCTTAGGGGCAGACAGTATTCTTCAGTCAGCAACATGCTTCTTTCTATTTTTAAAAAAGTCTCAAGACTGTGTTTCACACAACTGAGATGTTAAAATAATTGTGGAATGTGTGAGTATGTTTTTCTCATTCCATGTCCACTGTAGGGGCAAAATGACTGATTAGTTTAAACTAAATAATTAAAACAATCATTAATGTATTGATTCAACCAATTAAAACAGTGCCATTAGCGTTCCTCTTCCAGCTTCCGCTTGTTATTGCCACTTGGTGTTTATATTGTGCAAGTTGCGACTCTCAACACTTTGCATTTATTTTTCCAACTAAACAACTCTAAGGAATAGGTACAGTATAATTATCCTCATTTATAGAGAAAGAGACTGGCACCTGGAGAGAGTAACTGTAGAGTCAGTAAGAAGGGGAATAATAAGACAGTAAAGTACAAGACGAAATAAGTAGGCCTGAAACCACAGACCCTCATTGTGGTCACATTCAAATGTTGGTGAGGTGACCAACTTCATGGTGATTAATATGAATTTAAAGAAATGAATGGAAGATGTATTGGTAGATTTTACCTTGTTTTACAAAAAAAAAAAAAATCAGCTGCATCTAAAATACAATTTTGGGGGGCCTCTCCTCTCCTGGATGATAGCAACGCTGCCAGTGAACACCTATTTTGCCAATACTCCTCTGTCAAATTTAAGACTTCTTTCAGTGTGAGTCACTATAATGATCTGCTTTGAATGAAAGAATGATTAAAACTCACTTATAAATTTGGAGATATTCTTAATGAAATAAATTAAAGCTGTTTTTGCTTGCTTCCTTAAAACTGATGCTCTATTTGAATTTGGGGGAAAAAAGTTCAGTATTAACAAAATTCTCAAGTGACAAGAAAGGCTTTATCTTTTAAGTGAAGTCTTTTTCTTTTTTCAACTTTGAGGTCTATTTGACAAATAAAATTGTAAGGTATTATTATACAACCTGATGATGTGATATACGTATACACTGTGAAAGGATTTCCAACATTGACTTAATTAATACATCCATCACCTCATGTAAGTAGCTTTGTGTGTTTGTTTTGGTGAAAATACTTTATTTGGTTGTTGCTCGTTCTACTCTCTTAGCAAATTTCAATTGCACATTACAGTATTATCAACTATAGAAACCATGTGGTACATTAGATCTTCAGACATTATTCATCTTAAAACTGAAAGTTTGCAGCCTTTCTTCAGCCTGTCTCTATTTCCCCAACCGTGTAGCCCTGGGCAACCACCATTCAATTGTGTTTCTGAGTTCAGCATTTTCTTTTTAGATTTCGCATATCAGGGACACCATGCAGTATTCATCTTTCTCTGCCCGGCTTACTTCATTTAGCATAATTACCTTCAGATTCACCCCTGTTGTCCCACGTGGCAGGATCTCTTTCTGCTGTAGGTGGAATAATGTTCTGGTTTTTATATGTGTGCGATAACTTTTTTTTCACTTTGCCAATATTAAACAAAAGCTTTATTTAATTATTACTGAACAACTGTGTCCCTGAAGTAGCTTCAGATTTATTTATATGCTTTTTTTTTTAAGTCTTGAACATGCAGACATTCAGCTCCTCATACATTCCAAGAAAAGCATTTTGTGAAATTTTCAGACGGAAAATGAAATCTTAGTGGCCATGACCTTCCGTAATTTTGCTGGGATCCACCCTTGTTTTTCCAGCTGTACCTGAGGTGAAGTTCCTGTGCGGGGCAGATGTCCTGAAGAGCTTCCAGACTTCCAACCGCTGGAAAGACTCAGACAGTGAGGAAATGGTGAAGAAGTTTGGCGTGGTGTGTGTGAGCCGGACAGGTTATGACCCCGAGGGGTACATCTCAAGCTCGCCCATCCTGCAGAGGTACCAGCGCAACATTCACTTGGCCAGAGAGCCTGTGCAGAACGACATCAGTGCCACGTGCGTCAGGCAGGCCTTGCCCCAAGGGCAGAGTGTGAAGTATCTGCTCCCAGACGCCGTCATTGCCTCCATCAGGAACCACAACCTCTACATGAGGGACACTTCCTGGATGGGCAATCGCAACATGCCGAGGAATGAAGGGAAAACGAGCTGGGGAGGGCCATCCACGTCTCCTCTGAGCCCCTCCTGAGAAGAGGGTAGTTAAGGGCTTTCTTTTTTTTTTGCTTTTCCAGTTTTCATTTGTTTTATTTCTACAGTGATTTTACTTCTTAGGAGAGTTCTGTCCCTGGAAGAGATACCTTCTTTTGCAAGGAGCAGGTGTCTCCAGAACCTCCTTCAGTGCTCACGCTGCAATTACCATTTACAAAAAAGAAGGCCTCTTCATCCAGAGGTTCTGGGAGATGGTGCCGAATCCTACTGACCTGCCACCCCATTTCAACTTATTTTATAAATGCATCCTTGTGTGGGATAACTCTTTGAGAGAGTGATTTCATTTTCTTTGGATATACACCCAGAGGTGGGATTGCTGCTGGATCAGAGGGTAGTTTTATTTTGACATTTTGCACGAACCTCCATACTGTTTTTCCACGTTGACGTCACCGCATTCCCACCAACAGGGTACGGGTGCTCACTGTCCTCAACATCCTCACTAGCATTTGTTACTACTTGTCTTCTTTATAATAAACATCCTAACAGGTAGGAAGTGATATTTTATTGTGGTTTTGATTTGCATTTCCCTGATCATTAATGGTATCTAGGGCCTTTTGATGTACCTCTTGGGAATTTGTATGTCTTCTTTTGGAAAAATGTCTACTCAGATTTTCTGCCCATTTTTTAATTGGGTTTATTTTGTTTTGCTATTGAGTTGTGTGAAGTATTTATGTATTTTGGATATTAACCCCTTATTAGATATATAAATTACAAAGCTTCTCTTTCGTTTGGTTTTCTTAAATTGCTTTGTATTTTTGTTGATGGTTCTCTTTGCTGTACAGGGTTTCACTTGATGTGATTCTATTTGTTCATTTTTGCTTCTCTTGTCTTGGCTTTTGGTGTCAAATTCAAAATCAAATCTTGGTTTTCTTAATCAAAACTTTGTTTCATCTTCTGTATACCTTCGTGGGCTTCAGTAGCTTGTTAAACATGATTATGTCATTCTGTCAAAAATTCTGATGATACACAATCTAGTTATGTTAATCTTAATACTTTAATTCCTTTTATATTCCTCTTAGCAGGCAGCATAATAAAATCATTTAAAAAAAGAATTGGAACATTGCAGGGGGAAACATCAACATCACTAAATATGAAAAATTAATAAATATTCATTAGAGAAATTTTTTAAAAGTAGAACTGGATAACGGGTAGAAAGAGCAGAGTGTAGAGTGAAAAAAAAAAGAAACACAAGTAATGGAAATACATAAATAAGTTAAAAGATACAATGCGAGCAAGATACAATTACATTATACCCAGCATCAGATTTATGAATTGGTTCAGGTGGATATAGTTTCAGGGATACTCGGCAAAGAAAAGATAACAACATGAAAATTAACCTAGTCTTTCTAAGTGGTGAATGGAAAATAAATGGAAAACTCCTCATCCTTTGTTCTGCTGTTGTCATACAAATTATATCATTGTCCATTATCCCACAGAAATAACTTTTAGGTAATGCATTTTTCTCTTAAATTTGGTAGAAAAAATAAGAATTACAAAGAGAAAAATATATTTATATTGTCTTTTGTATGTATTTATTTTTTTAGGTTTACTAGTCCTATTTATTTCTTTAGGGGATACTTCTACTTGCCATAGTTAACCTAAATCTAGTAATAGTAATCGATTTATTTCCTCATTTTTCTTTAGGAAAAATATTTTCCACACTGAGTCAGATGCTCAAGATTGTCTTTCTAGTGAAAATCTTCCAGAGAGCCCCCAGACAAGTCAAATAATGACAATTCTTTGGAAATGAGCCTCTGAAGGAAAACATAGTTTAGGATTTGGGCTTATGTTAGCTGATTTGGGGGAGTGTGCAAAGAAGTGGGACTTTGCTCTGAATTGGATGTTGTTAGGAAGCAGAGATAATTCTATGATTGAGTCTTTTGATTATTCTTTCTTAGAAGATGGGTGAAAAAAAAACAGAAGGAAAAAAAAGAGCAGAAGCTAATACTTCTCCCGATGTTTTTTTAAAGCAATAGTCACTTTAGTTATTAGACAGGATGGGGCATATTTTTTTCATTTTAGGAGTTTGTACAATGTTATTATTTTCTCCTTGTTGAGATATGATTATGACAAAGGGGCCTTGTTTCTGCCTAATCCATCATAATCACAGATTATCCTTGTCTCATGTTCTGAAAATGTTTAACAGAAGAAAAGTATAGCTCATATGTGAGCATCAGGCCAGCTTGCAGCCACTCCAAACCTGGTAGCACCAGGCTAGTTTCCAAAAGCCACAGGCTGCTTTTCTCTTTCTAATGTCCTAACATAATTTAAAACCAGATATGTCACAAAGACTAAATTTATCTTTGTCAGATGCGGATACATCTTTTAGCACTTTGTTTACTGTGTCATTTATTATGTCACACTGCCTCTATGAGACAAGACTCCCTCCCTACTATTAACACAAATAAATCATCTCTCTCATAATTGGTACTTATATTCTGATTGATGAGTTTTTGATGTCCACAATGTTGAAGCCCAGTCTTGATGGACTTCCTCGTGCCAACATGGTACCATACCTTTTTCCTCCATCCTTCTCCTCCTTAACACCTGAACAAATATAAACCCTTCTGGTTGTATATTCTGTCCTATTCATTCATTTTCATGCTGTCCGATGCTTCATTCTCTCCTCTCTGTGCTTTTCCCTAAAGACTCTTCAATAATACTCTTCAGGATGGTTGAACTCTTCTCTGGGTGCTTCTACAAACTTAAATGCATCTCGACTGAATTACCCCTCTCCTGTGAGGATCTGGATTCCTCTTGTGGACATTTTGAGTGAAAAGTGTTTTTTTGTTTCTTTGCACATTTTTTGTACCTTTATTCCACAAAATGTGTTCTTGATTTCAGAGAGCAATCCACCTTCTCTAAGAACTGATTTAGGAGAAAAAAATACCCCAATTTTCAGTATTTCCTGCAGTTGTATTGGTTTATGTAGGTGAAGTCAGTGAGGTTTAGCCTAAATGGAGTAGGATATTAAAAAATGATGGCTGAATTAGTCTGAATAAATTAATAGTTACTTCTGTCTATTTGTGAAGGAGAGAAATTATCATTTATTAGGAAGGGGAGGGTAGATGTTAGAGGTAAGAGAAATAGAACAAAAAATAGCATCACAGATTTGGGAGTAGAGGTTAAGAGGTCAATCTTTCTTTTTAGAAAGAGCTAAAGGAATTTTAACAGCAGTGAGGTCTGTAAGTCAGTCTTACTCTGTATGTGTGTATGTGCTGTAACCCTTCCTCTGCTCTATAGCTTTGGTGGAATCAGTCACACAAACGTCTGGAATAGCTATAATTAGGAGTGAAGGGATTGGGCTTGCTACAGTATAATTTCTGTAAAGTTAAAAATTACCTTCATACAAATATTAGTTGGTGGGAGTTAATGATTTCTTTAGCTTATTAATGAGAGTAATCGCAGAATAGTTAAGTTGGTTTAAATAAAAATTTGAAAAATGGGTTTTTTTAATAGTCTTTCAGACAAAGGGATACTGAAATTAATTTATTAATAGATACAAAATATATACTATTCCCAGGGCAAATGAAAGTATAACTGTGAAGGTGATATTTTCTGCTGGTCAGAAATCTACAGGTTAAACTCTGAGCCTTAGTCAACAATAAATATTTAATCAAAATTGGTACATTCCTCTTGAAAAATAATCATTTGGCAGGCCTAATAGAAAATGTTTCAGGGTAGCATTGAAAATACATATAGTTATCCTTTTGTCCCTATTTCTAAACTTTGGATAAGTTTTTCTTCGTAGCAAAGTATCCATTTATTTGAGGTCACATAGTAAATGAGCACATAGAATGAAGGAGACATGAGAGGTTTTAGAATTTTGTTGAAAAATATACTTGGAATGAAAAAATACTAGGAAAAATATATGGCCCTACCTATAATCCATTTCTACCCCAAAGATTATTAAAACTATCTAGAGGAACATTCCCTAACTTTATGCTGCATATGGGTTTACACTAAATTTGTCTTTATCTCTGAGGACAGTTTACTTTAGTTGATATTTTGGATTTTTGATTTATTAAAAACAAATAAAATGCCTTAAAATGAATAATTTTTTCTATAAACAGTAACCTCTTCATAATAGCCATAGTTATAAAGCTAAGTATAATATTTTGGGCTTAAGAATAAATCGTATAGAAGTATATAGTACATATGAGTGTGTATATATATTATATTTTGCTATAGTACAAATGTGTGTGTTTAAATGTATGCATAAACACACATGTATAAATATATATATTATATTTTGCTTTTTAAAAGCCTGTCATTTTCTGTAACTTATAATTCAGTGTTGTGCATAAGTCATCTCTTACCAAAAATTTGGATGAATAAGTGATAGAGTAAAATATTAAATAATTATTTTTTAGGGTAAATCTTCTAACAATACTTTTGGATGGGATTTTGACAACATATAGCCTCAATTTGCATTTCTATGAACTAATATAGGAATTGGTAAACTACTGCAGGCAGGCTATTCTTGAAAATAAAGTTTTATTGGAACACAGCTATGTGCATTCACTTACTTATTGCCAATGTCTGTTCTTGTGCTACAGCAGTAGAGTTGAGTAGTAACAGAGACCGCATGGAGAGCAAAGCCTAAAATATTTACTCTCGGGTCCTTCACAGAAAAAGTTTGCCCTTCTCTGAAAGTAGAATCCTTAATCAGAGACCAAGATATTATTTCTAGGTACACAGTAAATGTGACCGTTTAGAAAACAACACTATGTTATATATGCTTAAAAGTGACATATAAGTGTTAGGAAGGAAGGGACTTGGCTCAGTGGCTCAGGGAAGTCAGATACAGTGAGGTGAGAGTTCAAAGTCAAGAAAGCACAGTAAGTTCTAATGCACTCTGCAGAGAGTAACAAAGTGGGCCTGCTTAAGGTGGGACAGGCACAAATGCTCATTCCGAGGATGATCTTATGTGGTTTTGGCAGAGCAGTGAAGTCCCTGACTGACACCTCTTAGCTCTCT